CAAACCTTGTAGAAAAAATAGGATTTTTTGTTTTTTAAAAATTCTAATAATAAAACTGACGGTGTCTTAAGCAATGTGAGAAACTGTGCTTTTAAAAATCGACGCATATATATTATTACCAAAAAGTGTATATAAAAAATAGGGTTAATTACACTCACACCCCCTGAGGTTTGCCCTATTGACAACCAAATGAAAGTTGACCTATTTTTTAACAATGACCACCCCTCAAGTTTCATAAAGTTAACAAAGACACCCCTATGATCTTCTGCACATGATGAATTGTAATACCCCTAATTTTAAAAAGGATAAAATTGAAATTTCAATTATCTTTATTGCATTTTTATGTGACTAGTTGCTTAAATGTTTAATTGTTTTATTTGTTTTAAACTGTTAGTCTTGTATTTGAATTGCCTTATTTGGTTAAATATATTTTAATTAAATTAATTGTATTTTTGGTTGCTGTAGTTACTTTAATTGTATTATTAATTATTTTCTTGCATGGACGTAACTGTTTATTTAGATTAAATGTATGACTTATCTTTTAGGATTTTAGTATTTTTATGGGCTTGCCGACATAATTAATTGTGTTTTAAGTTTAGGGTTTTTATGGACTTTGGAGTTGGAATTAGTTATAAATATATAACTTATACGTCCCTAGGGTTTGATAACCCTATTCACGGCACAGTGAAAATACAGAGAGTTTTTAGAGAACTGAGCGAGAGAAAATAGAACAAAACTTAGGAGGAGAATAGAGAGGGCCAAGGGAGAGTTGTGGTGGCTTAAACCAAAACCATAGAAGGCTTGAAGATGGTCAGTGGTTGCCGGAAATTAGGAAGACGACAACACAGTTTTGAGACCCAAACTACAGGCAAGTTCTTCTCTTTCTCCTTCTCTTTGGCTCGTGTTCTATGCACCTAGATAATTTCTAGGGTTTAATCAATCAGTAACTGGAATTTACATGGTTATATATATGTTATATTAATGATCTGGTTGTGTTGAAATCAAAACTGTTACAATTTCTACATGTCTCGTTTCAATTTTCAGTTCTTTAAGCATGTTGCTCTGTTGTAACTTTAGACTCTGTAATTTATTTCAACTACTGCAAACGAACCATGGGGATGTCATAGGGATTTATATGAGATCCTTAGGTTCAGTGGTGAAGAGGAACAGAGGGTTTGGAAAAGAACTGAAATTTCTTAAATTAGTTTCAGTGTTGTTCTTCAAACATATTGGTTTAATGGCTTTGTTTAATCTCTGTAATTGATTTCAAATTGTTGTAAACAAATCACGGGGATGATTCTAGGCTTAGTTTTAAAACCAAACTGAAAGGCAGCAACTGGCCGGAGTTGGAACAGAGGTCAGAATGAAGCTGAAACGGAGAAAGCTCACAGGGGGAGAGAGAGAGCCGGCTCTGGAATGCCAAGAGCCGGCTCCCACCTGTTTAGAGCCGGCTCCAAGGTGGTTTAGAGCCGGCTCTATGCTGCATTGAGCCTGCTCCATTTTTCTAGAGCAGGCTCTTTCCTTGTTTTGTGCGTACATGACCTTTTTAGCTACTGTTTTGAGCACTTGGGGTTCCTGAACAGTTTTAAAATTCTAATGGGCTTTTCAATAATTAATTTAACATATAATCAAAGTCTTAGATTGCATAAAATACCCTCTTTGTATTAATGGAATTAACAGTGCGCTAATTAACAACTTGCGCGCGGTTAACTACCGGAAGAAAGTTAAATTGCCTAATTTCAATTTGACAATTTAAGGTGCTACAATATGATTCTAAATTAAAATTTAGATGTATGATGGAGACTTTTAATTAACAAAATTAGACTTGTAGCATATTGTGGCTTTGTGCTAAAAGATTAAACCGTATACTAGTATACAACTTAGCACGCTGTTACCGGATGGAGAGAATTAAATTGCTTGAATTAATTTAGCAATTTTATTGGACTATAATATGATTGAAAAGAACTTATTTTAATGCATGATAGAGTCATTGATACATTAGATGTAATCTACGCATGCTTTGGATGCTAGTTGTTGAGCCTTTAAACCGTTTCCTGCAAATGCATGGTTTAACTCTTGGATTTAAATTGCTGAAACTATAAAAAAAAAATCTTCTGCAATTCTTTGAGATGGTTTTGGATTGTAAATTGCTATACTGTTATTTATATGTTGTAATTTACATGATTTGGATGTTAATAGTGGAATCTTATATATTATTCTACAAGAAATTGGATTATGGTTTTGAACTGTAATTGCTGCAGTATTGTATAAACTATTCTGCAATTACCTGGCTTTTGGTTTTGGATATTAATCTGCTATACTGTTATTTATATGTTGTAAATTACATGGTTTTGGATTTCAATTGCTGAATAAGTATATTCTGTCAATTACATGGATATGGAGGATTGTATGCACCGGTATGGGACGGTGACATACTAGGGACGGTTTAGCTCAAAACGCCTAAACCTAAACTAACGAATTAAAGGAATGGATTTAAAAATATTGAATCCTAATTGTGTTAAGTCAAATCAACTGCAACTAAGTTGAATGGCTTCCTGGATTAATGGATGATAGTTAAGTCATCTCAACTGAATAAGTTGAGAGACTAACTAGCTGGTTTATTGTATGTCAGTTTAATAAATATTTGAACTACATACCCTGGTTCTGGACGGACTTTATATATATGTTTATGGTACCACGAGATGAGCTTGAGTCTCAGACTCGTTGGTTAGGGTGCGTATATGCAATGGATGCGTAACTGGCTATAGTAGTTGAGGTGTACCCTGTTAGGTCTAGGTACTTATGCCCGCCTTTGGGTGCGTTTTCGCATGTTGCCTTCTATTCAGGTTGGGACCCCTGCTATAGTTCAGTGAATGTCCCTTAGTGTGGATATATATATGTGTATGGACTAGATAACTATTGTTGAGATATCTAGGGTGTATCTGCGTATCGGGTCACTGTGTGGATTGTAGTTAGAGAATAATTTGTATGTGGGCCTGACCCACTCTTATTTTTACAAGTGTTCGTTAGTTCCAGTGGTAGAGCTAGATCGTGCTGAGCAGATACAGTCATTCATTCCACCGATGCTGTAGGACTTTGTTTCCTGTTTTAGGCTTTGGTTTTATTCCAGTCATTTGAGTTCAGTGGGGTATTTTAGGGGTCCACTAGATGGATTCCCGAGTTGTATAATTTGGAAAACGATTTGTATTCGTGGAGGATCAGTTGTAATAGAATAGTTTATTTATCAATGGAATTAATTATTCTGAGGTTTCAATTATTGGATTATCATTTTAGTTTTCATTTCAGCAAATTTTATTTATCTTATTTGTTTTAATTGTATTCTGTGTTCGATTATTGCTAATTGGTTTGATATCCTCGGGTTATCGGGCGTGGGCCTGGCCAACCCGCATTCGGAAATCCAGGGGTATCACATGAATTGACATTATTGTCCTTTGACTTGATAGTTGACCTATTTGGACTATAAAATTACCTTTTTAACCTTTACAACTCAATTTATTTAACTAAACTACCATTTCATGCCAACAATATATATATATATATATATATATATATATATATATATATATATATATATATATAATTAATTATATATAACTGTAACACACACACACACACATAGATGTATGGATGTGGTTGTTCATGTGGATGGAGGTTAGTACTAGTAATATTAAATTCGGTATAATATAATGTAATATGAAAATACAAAAGTGGGACAATACCACTTGCAATGTGATATTTGATTTTTTTTTTTTTTTTTTTTTCGTGTGATATTTGATTCACACAACACCAATCCAAATTTGTTATATTAAAAATATAATAATATATACATAAACTATATTGGAGGTGGGTATTTGATAAAACTATGGGTTATTGTCAAAACCAAAACAAAATTGGTACAAAACCATGTAGGGTCACCTCGTCTTCAATTCTTGTTCTCCAGTGAATGGTCTTGGTGCCAAGCCTCAATTTGTTGTTAGGAGACCTGTAGGTGAGAAAAGCTCAAAAAAATAAATAAATACAAGTCTAGCCACAGTACGTTCCCGGTGGATTCCGATCGAGCTGGTCAGATTCCGATGACAAACACAGTATGCAAGACCAAAATGATACTTGCAGCTCTGATTTGCTTCTCATTTTCAATTTAGAGAGAGAGAGTGATGGCTCTGATTTGAGATCGTCATGGGTTTGATTGGGATTGTTGTGGGTTCAAATGGGTGGAGATGTGGTGGCAGGAAAGATGAAAAGCGATAGCCGGCGAGGTGCGAATGCCAACACGCCAGAGCCGAAGAGGACCAAACCTAGAAAATGCCGGCGAAGGTTGTAGGGATCCAGCGCATTATATTTATGTGTGTGTCTGTATCCAGCGTATTATATTTATGCGTGTCTGTAAATTACAAAATACTAGTGTGAAGGAAGAGGGGTATTTGAGTCATTTAAATAGTCTCATATTTTTAATCAAGGATTATTATTTTATTAAAGGGTAATAACGTCTTTTTTTACTTTTTTAGGAACTGTTTGGCTGCAATTTATTACAGGGGGTGTGATTGTTCAAAAAGTGATCAATTTTCATATGGCTGTTAATAGAGCAAACCTCATGGGTTGCGAGTATAATTAACCCTAAAAAATACAAATAGAATATCTTTTTATAGGGTAAATAGATATATATTTAAAATTTTTGGTTTGCCCTCTCCAGTATTCTTCGTCCAAAAATTCAAAATTTTTTTTCTTGCACCCATCATCCAATGGGTGCATTGAACCATTAATTATCGCCCCAGCGCGTGTACTACACGGTCCAGACGGTGCGGAGTTTTTTTCCAACCACCCCAACTCACCTGCGTCTGGCCCACCGAATCACAAATTTAACCGTCGGATGCGCGGCTTATGCTTTGATTGGCAATCTGTAGAAAATATCCAACGGTTGGGTAAAGATGGTTCATGGAGATTGATAACCACAACAAACACTTAATATATTCACTCCTCAAAGAAACTCTAGTACCGGGAGAAACTCTAGTAGGTATAAAACTTCTTCAACTCGCCGCTCTCTCTCTCTCTCTCTCTCTTTGCTCTCTCTGATCAGGACCACTTTACTCTCTCTGATCAGGACCACCAGGTAATGCTTCACTATTTCTAGCATACATTTTCATACATGTGTATATATATTTGTATGTACAACTCAAGTTAAAATCAATCAATCGTTTTCGGCGTTTAGCTAAGCATTTTAGGTTCTTTGGGTCTTTGCTTTTTGGATGGATACTTCTGAAGCAGCCTGTTTTTTTGTTTTATTTATTTAAGGTCCGCGATTCATGCCTCTTTCTCCTTCCGATTCGACTTTAGGGGTTTTTAAGTTCGTTTGTTAGGGCTTTGATTTTTGGATTTTCATTTGCTTTTATATGTTTATTTTCTGTGAGATTCTATCAAATTGGAGAACAGTTTTTATTTCTTTGTCTTTTGTACAAAGCAGACTTTTGTTGCAGATTCAATGCTAATTTCGATAGCATTCAAATGGGTGAAATTGTTTTGGCTAAATTTTCATAACCTATTGTCTATAAAATTTACCTTTTTTTTTTTTGAAAAAAGAACGGAAAAAAAAGCATTGCAAGACTGAGAGTATTGGTTCTTTTTCCAAGAATTGCCATAAGACCGTTTATTATAGAATTATTACCTATCTGTGCTGAATACAAGACTTAATTACAGCAAGTTTTTGTTGAATATTGCGTTATTTTTATCGATTGTCCTGGTATCCATTGCAATTTCGAAAGATTTTTGAGCATGAGATTCAATTTCTAGCATTTCTTTGTTCTACTTTTAGCAAATTGAAAACTTGTTGAAAATCACATCCAAAATTCCTGATATCCGACTTATCGGGAAAAAAAAAAAAAAAATTCCCCGTTGGATTGTTGTTGGCTTAAGATGTTCTGAATTCTTTTTATTTTTTAATACTACATCACTTTCTTCCTTGTTTCTTTCAGATTATAAGTCATCCGTGCATCAGGAATTCCAGCTTGATCTTCTTTCTTTCTTATTAATGGCCGTATGTCAGAAACTGATTATGCTGTTTTTTTTCCATGAATTAACTGATTATGCTTCAAGTCACCAGGTTGTATCTCTTTCTTGTTTTATGCCTCTTATATATTTGAATTGTCAACTGTCTCAGGTCAGCAAACTTTTTAAAGATGAAGCTACTGAGGAAAAGGGTGAGCGGGCTAGAATGGTGAGTGTTTCAGTTCAGGCTTGTAATGATGGATCCATATTTTAAGTAAATGATTGATATATGCATCTACACCATCCTATGTTACATACGTGCTATGGATGTGGGTTTGCGCTAAATAATGTTTTTATAGTCAAATAACGTTCAATTATTTAATATTCTTCTTTTATTTTCTATAGTCAAATAGAAAACAAAAGAAGAGTCCATATGCAATACTTCACACATCTTTTAAGACAAATTTTTGTAGAGTCCATTTAACATGGATTCCATCTAATATATAATATAATCATGATGATACGTTATTAAAGCACCATGTGTATGAATTGCATACAACAATTGTTAGTTTAGTTCAAAGTTCAACTCAACTTAATAAAGCATTTTTCCAACTAATTTTTTTTTATTTTTTTTCCTTGTTGGTACTCACACACACTTGTCTCTTTTGAGACTTGAACCCTGACCTCCTTTGGGAAGTAAAAGGCTGATACCGCTAGGCTACTGGCCCGTTGGTATTTATTTTTCCAACTATTTGTGGTTGGTTACATGAATCTTGTTTTTCTATTAAGCTCTTTGTAATGATATCTTTCTAATGAGAGAGCCTATCACCCCATATTCAATTTCATGGACAACTTTTCCGATATTCATTCTTAGGGCGTGCTTTATTTTGCCATCCATCCATGTACTTACAATTAAGCACCATTCTTGATGATATATATATATTTGATAAGTAATAATTGAATAAAAGGTGTTCAAAAGGGGAACGTACAAAAGTGGAACCGGGATTTAAGGACCCAAAGAATCCAAAAAAATGATTAATTCATCAGAAGAGGAGCAAGAACTCCTTTTCACATAACTAAAAAGAGAGCGAATAATATGAAGTTTCAGCGTCGCCATGGACGACTCCTTCCCTTCGAACATTATGCTATTCCTCTCCTTCCAAATGCACCACCACATGCAATGTGGAACTATACTCCAATAGTCGCGTACACTGCTTCTCACACGACATCCCCTCCATGCATTAATCAGTCCCTTAGAAGATCGGGGCATTACCCAAAGCATACCAAATAAGCCGAGTATAAGGTTCCAGCAGTCGTGCGCCACGGGACAATGCAGGAGGATATGCTCCACTGACGCACCATCTCTGTTTGCAAAGGCAGCACCAGTTAACAATACAGTTACATCTCTTCCTCAAATTGTCAATTGTTAGGATCTTGCCCCATACAGCAGTTCATACAAAGAATGCCACTCTAGGTGGAGCCTTAGAATGCCATATGGTCTTCCATGGAAAATCAATGCCATCAAAGTTAGAGAGGCATAGAAACATAGACCGTACTTCGAATCGACCTTGGGAAGAGGGGACCCATGTAAGATCATCACTACCTCTGCCAACGGCCTCTTGCTGATACAACAAATCCAAGAGAACACATACCTCGTTCATCTCCTAATCGTGAAAAGAACGCCGAAAGTGCATGTCCCACGTAATCCCACTACTATCAAGCCGATAACAGTCAGCTACGCAGGCATGTGTATCAATTGCGATATTGTACAATCTGGGAAAGGTACAAGATAATGATTGGTCACCGCATCATAAATCCTCTCAAAATCAAACACATCTGCCATCACGAACTTTGAATCTGATGTGGGAAGAGAAAACTTCCCAGCCCTTCCGAATGAATTTTCACACACCGACTCCTCCCGCAATAGAGACCGGACAAGTAGACCAGCCGCCACTCTCCTCCCCAAAACGACAAGAAACAAGCCTTCTCTAAGGGTGATGCCTTTCCCTACCGAATCTCTATAACCATTTGCCCAAGAGAGCTTGATTAAAGGGAACCAATCTTCGGATACCCAGACCACATGGGCTTGCAAACTTGCTCCCATCTGACGAGATGATACTTAAACTCTTTGACCCTTCCGCCCCAAAGGAAATCCCTTTGGATCTTTTTGATCCTTTCGGCAGCAGAACATGGAATTTGGAACATAGATAAAAAATAAGTAGGAAGGCTCGATAAAGGGCTCTTTATGAGAGTATCTCCCCCCCCCCCTGGCCGCCCGGTGGATAGATATTGCTTCTTCCACTCTGCCAATCTCTTTGATATATATATAAGAACCTAACAACTTATTATATGTCCATATTACGTGACTTATGTCATTACACTAAGAAGTATGGACACGGACACGACCCCGATAAGGATACACCGAAATGTCAAAATCCAAAAAAGTAGGATACAAATATAGCGTGGACACGGCTAATATAATATAAATTTTCATTTATATATCTATTGAATAACATAATTATAAAACTTTATCATAGGGTTACAGGGTATAATAGCTAAATAGGATGAGTTTTTTTCCCATTTTAATCTAAGTTTAAATTAAATATCTCAAGGTATATACATAAATGTATTATATAATATAATTTTTTGGGTCTTTACATAGCCTCAGTCATGTATTGAAAGTACACTGTTGGTTATGTTTTCCGTAGTGTTTCTTTTTTTTTTTTTTTTTTTTTTTTTTTTGTTCTTTCCTTAAGCAGCATTTTATTACCAACAAAGCAGCAAAACAGGAACAAGAGGTTAACCTCTTTGATACAAGAAAAAGGCTAAAACAACAGCTTAACCACTAAGAAAGCCCATTTTTTCCCGTAGTGTTTCATGGTTTCTCTTAACAATGCTTAAACTTATTATTATTATTTTATTTTTTAATGGAACTCCAATTCCTATATTGATTTCTTATTAGTGAATGAATATTTTTCTTTTTTGTTTTTGCTTTAGGCATCATTTATTGGAGCAATGGCAATCGCTGACTTGGTGAAGACAACTTTAGGGCCCAAGGGAATGGTAATTTTATTTTGTATCAGTGTGTTGAAAAATAGGAATATACTGCAATTTAGGCACCTGCCTCTCGTAATTTGACTTAATCATCTGCTCGTTAATGTCATTTCTTCATAGGATAAGATCTTACAATCAACTGGCAGAGGACGCAGTGTTACTGTAACAAATGATGGTGCCACCATCTTAAAGTCCCTCCATATTGATAACCCAGCTGCTAAAGTCCTTGTCGGTATCCTTTAAAATGCTGCTCTTTTTGTTTTTCTTGTGCCTCTTTGTGTGTGGCTTTTGATTATTTTGATCTGTGAAAATTTTGGCGTTGCTTACGAAACTTGTACATGCTTATAGATATTTTTTTCACAAAATGTTGTGTGGTATATACACTTGTAAAATAAAAAATAAAGTCAACAATTAGCGGCAGGAATGTTGATTATGCCTGCGATGCTGCTGAGACACGCAGTTGCAATATATCATTTGACGCTCATCCTTGACTCAATAATGCCCAGACATTTCAAAAGTTCAAGATGATGAAGTGGGTGATGGGACAACTTCTGTTGTTGTTTTGGCTGGGGAGCTTTTAAGGGAGGCAGAAAAGTTGGTAGCAACAAACATCCATCCAATGACAATAATTTCAGGTTTATTTAAGATTCTTACTATCTTTTCCCGGGGTTTTACTTTTGTCAGCAAGGAATTATTCCATCTATAGTTGATAGATGTACTGTTTGGTTGCATGTGTAAGTAGTTCTTTTTTCTAATAGATTCATTTTGTTTTTTTTTTTTTTTGCTTAAAACAGTGAATTGATACTTTATTTAAATGTACCTTGTTGATACCTTTTCTATTGGTCGGTGAATGCAGTCTAATAATACCCAAATTTTACTTTTTTCTTACCCCTTTTGGCACTATTTTTTTCCTCACGCAGGGGGGGTCCCAGAAAAGTATGTGAGTGGGGGCGGCTTTTAACAAAAAAAAATATTGTGGGGGTAATAGTGAAGTTTTTCAATAAATTCAGGGGGGGGGGGGGGGGGGGGGGCAAAATTTAAATTTTATAGGTATAAAAATAAAAAAACAAAATTAGTAAGTAAAAAAATACAAAAAGGAAATATTTCAGTTGGGGCAATTGCCCCCACTGGGCCTATATTGGGTCTGTGCCTGCCCTTACGTTGACTTCAAAGATGAATTAGATTACTCATGACCTGGCACATTTTATTTTACATCAATAGTAGCTTCTTTCTCCTAACTAAACTCATATTGGGTGTCAACATCTTTGCTAAGATATCCCCATGTTTCTTGATCTGTATGCTATTAATAAGCAGCAGTACCACTGGAACCAAAACTTAAACCCATATTGAAACCCTAAAATGAAACGTAAATCTAAAACCCTAACTGAAACTAGAAATGAATGTAGCTTCGGATTAAGACCTGTGTCTAAGTGTCAGTCTGGCTTCAGTTTTGAGTTTCAAATTCAGCTCACGGTGACCTTCAAAGGATGGCAGAGCTTAGTGGCAAGTGAATGGCAAAAGGTCTAGCAACGCATATGCACAACAATATGCATGCTAAAAATTTGTAGGGTATTGGATTCTGATGTATACTGTTGGAGAATGTCATTATAAACCTTAAATTACTCCTTGTACAATTAATGGCATATTTTTCACTTATCAAAAAAAAAAAAAAAAAAAAAACCTTAAATTACTCCTTGACAGAATATTGACATGAGAGTATCATACAAGTGATTTTAGCCTATGGTAGAATATTGATTAGAGTGATTTATGGGATTGATTTTAGGAATCTTCCATCAATGTATTTTCCATATTTATCACTTGTATTTTGTTACCTATTGTTATGACAAACGCAACGAACTCAAGATAAAATCAAGAATCACGACAGAAATATTAACACACCACACAAAAAACACAAATATTTATACGTGCTTCGGCAACAACCTACATCTACGGTTGAGATCCGGCGAAAGTCTTCACTATATGTAAAATCGGAGATTACAAGTTTTTAGTCCCACTCTGTTTCTTTACGAATTTCAGTCTCTCTCTCACACCACTCCAAACCTTAAGCACCCTTATATATTAGGCTACAAAAGACTAATTAGGGTCCACGATCCATGAGCAAAAAAGTGGTCAAAATTTTCCTTGGGACCAAATTTAGGCCACAAAATCACACCTATATATAGTGGTGCTTATGGTAAATAATATTAAGAGAGAATGTAATGGAAAAAGATGTAACCTTTTGGACTTTGTGTGTCGTAGATGTAAGTCCTAGTGGTTGAACCACGTAATATTTTTGTGTTCTCGTTCAATTTTTCTCTTACTTATATTTTATTATTTACAACATGGTATCGGAGCAAGTTTACCATACTCTACTTTATACTCTACTAATCTCGGATTTTCGGATCAACTTGTCTTGGATCTTCGGAACAACTCGTCTCGTCTTGTCTCGGATCTTTGGACCAACTCATCTGGGAACTCCAGATCAACTCATCTTAGACTCTCAACAACTTCATATATAGTTTTACTTTTTTTTTTTTTTTTTTGATAATTAAGCAAATTCATTCAAAAAACGTTCGAAAGGGGAACGTGTCCCAAAAACAACAAAGGGATCCTATGGTCCCAACGAAGAAATAAAATCAATCATCTCCTCCGATGAGGAACAAACCCTACCTGAACCCCAAAAATATAAAGATGTAATAAAATCTGACTTAAGAACAGCAATTAAGGATTCCTTTCCTTTAAATGGTCTATTATTCCGCTCCCTCCACAAACACCACCATAAACATAAGGGCGCCATCCTCCAAAACCCACGAGCATGACCTCCCACATGGCACCCTCTCCAAGCCTCCATCAATCCTCTTGTAGATCAAGGCATAACCCTCGACACCAACAGTCCAAAGCCACTAGACAATGCATAAGAAGATGATCCACCGATTCCCCATTGCACTTACACATACAACACTAGTTAATTGTGATTTGTCTTCGCCTCCTCAAATTATCAAGTGTCAAGATCTTGCCCCACACCACTGTCCAAGTATATAATGCCACTTTGAGCGGCACCTTAGATCTCCACACAGTTTTCCACGGAAACGTAATCCCCGTAGTATCTGAGAGGCATCGGAAAAATGATCTCGCTTCAAACATTCCCCGAGAAGTAGGCACCCAAACAAGCAAATCTCTATCTCTGTCACGGATCTCATGCTGATTCAAACGATCTAACAACCCGCAAATGTCATCCAACTCCCAATCTTGAAACGCTCACACAAACCGCACATCCCAAGTCAACCTCTCGCTATTAAGCCGATAGCAATCAGCAACCGAGGCATGCCTATCAACAACAATCCTATGCAATTTGGGAAATGAACAAGCAAGGGTAC